GATATGTATTGACTTGGAGCGGACAGAGCAGCTACAGCTCTGAGGATGGTGGGGGAACTGGGAAGGAGATGCCACCTCCTCTGGCATCCAGAGAATAAACATTTCCTGTGCAAAGGGGGTCGTCTCTGGGCTCCCAGTTTCTCAAATACCCAGAATTAAAGGGAAAATATCCCACACCACATGGGGAGGACTGAATCTGTTCTCCATGATGTACAAATATCTTCATTATAAGGTATGAATCCAAGTCATGGTGAAATGCAATGTACATCTCATTATTCTCCATTTCTTTGTTCCATGAAGGTGCTCTGTTACGTACATCAGAGGATATTATCATTTCTGAATTCATCATTTTAAAAGCCCCAAATCAGAAAGTATAAGACCTCATTTCCATGAAGATTTTTCTTTTCTCTCAGGAGAAAGTTCTACCCATGATAACATCATAACCTTACTTCTAAGGGGAATAAACCCCTCAAAAGAAATACATGGTTGTCCCAGTTACAGAAATTAGTTTTTTTAACTCCAAGCAGGTGCTAATCACCTGTCATGTATAAGAACTTGGAGGAGAGTTTTGAAAAAAAGTTATACCCCATATAAGTAAACTTGCTGCAAAAAAAAAGAAGAGGAAGAAGAAGAAGAACACTACTTCATATTTGTGCTCAGAAACAGGTGGCTTACTAAAATTATTTCTCTGTTATCTGTTCTGTCACAGTGGAGACATCATTGGCTTTGAAAAATCTAATAATAACAGCATTATCCAACAAGAAGGAATAGTGAGTATGGAATATAATAGATTTACTATAATAGACCCTGCAATATTCAGTAATTGCTTGATCAGATGCAACTGTTTTCCTGTGTTTAATGTTCTTATTATGTGTGGTCCTTAACCACCCACCCATTTGACCAATGGGTGATTATCCACAGTGTGCCACACTGGGACAGATGTCCTCAAGGAGCATACTGTTTGCTGTACATCAGCTGTTTGTGTTTCTTTTGCTATAATTAAGAAGGATGTATAGGTTGTTAGCAATAAATTTGTGTGAAAGTGTCTCCATGTTACAGTTATAGCTCTTTGAATTAGGACACCAGAACTATTAATAGCTAATCTATGACATCATGCATTGACTTTTACTTAAGTTGGCCAAGAGGATATGGTAGTACATGGTGTCATTGAATGAACAACTTTTTGAAAACCTTTTTTTGTGACCAGCACTCTTGGGGACTGAATGAGGTGTGAAAGAAAAGTAAAAACAAACAAAAACGGGGCGCCTGGGTGGCTCAGTTGGTTAAGCGACTGCCTTCGGCTCAGGTCATGATCCTGGAGTCCCGGGATCGAGTCCCGCATCGGGCTCCCTGCTCGGCGGGGAGTCTGCTTCTCCCTCTGACCCTCTTCCCTCTTGTGCTCTCTATCTCTCATTCTTTCTCTCTCAAATAAATAAATAAAATCTTTAAAACAAACAAACAAACAAACAAAAACGTACTCTCTATACTTGAATAGAATACAGTTTCAGGGTTGGGAATCTAAGATAGACATGAGATAACTGGTGTGCTGTGGAATGGGCAGGGTAGGCTGTAGGTGGATTGAGAAGTCCAAAGTGGAATTGGAGGAGAAAAGTTGTAGTGGGCCAGAGTGATTAGGGAAGGCTTCATGGAAGAGGTGGCCTGTGTTCATTTCCTATTGCTACTATAACGAATTAGCACAAATTTAGTGGCTTAAAACACAAACTTATTTTCTTACAGTTCTGGAAGTCAGTCTGACATGGTTCTCACCAGGCAAAGATCAAAGTGCTGGCTACAGTCTTTCTGGAGGATGTAGGGGAGAATCCATTTCTTGTCTTTTCCAGCTTTTGAGGCTGCCCATGTTCCTTGGCTCATGGCCCCTTCCTCAGTCTCCAAAGCCAGCAAAGGCAGGCTGAGTCTTTCTCACACTGCCATCCTTCTGGTTCTTTGCAGCTGGGAAGGGCTCCCCGCTGTTAAGAACCCTTGTGATTACATTGGGGCTGCCTGGATGATCCAGATAATCGCCCCATCTCAAGTTCCTTAACCTTAATGACATGTGCAAAGTCCCTCTCACCATCTAAGGTTCCAGGGATTAGGATGTGGACATCTTTGGTGGCCATTATTCTGCCTGCCACAATGCCCTTGAGCTGATTCTGTGGGGGTCACTTGGATCTTCTTTTAGGAGGCATTCATCTTGGCATAGTTTGCATTCATGCAGGGAGGTGTGTGGGCAATGAGGCAGAGGTGAGGATTTGGGGGAGCAGTAGACTCTGGGTAGGGTCAGATGGTAGACAGCTTGTCAATGCCAGGCCGAGGAATTTACATTTCACCTATAGTGAAGACTGGTGGAGACTGTAGGCCACCATTGAGGCATCTTTAGAAGGAGAATGACAGGATACATTTGCTTTGGGGGTGATAACTGAGGGACCAGTGTCCTCAAGGTTGCAGGAAGGACCAACGGCATCCAGGAGAATTGATAGGGGAGACAGATAATGCGTAAAGGGTCAGGTATTGACAGGAAGGGTCCCCCATTGTATCTCTGGGGTGTGACACACAGTATGTGCTCACTAAAGATTACAATGACATTTTTTAGAATTATCAAAAATCCCAAACTGCATTTAATATAGCTGGAAAATCTAAATAGAATTTCTCACTTTTTTCTTTCTCATTTATTTCTCCAGAATGGGGATCCCTCTGATTCTTTCCCAAATGCCTTCTCCTGCAGAAATTCCAACTTAAGTGGTTCTGTAACATACTTTCACTTTAGATTTCTGATTGTTTATATTGTAAAGAAAAGATTTCAATTTGTGATTTTAAAACAATTTTTTTTCTGAAAGATCAGTTCTTTTCACAGGAAGAGCCTGGAAGGAATTAACTCCAGGAACACATAACTTTGCTTTTTATTATTATTTTGTTAGTAATTGATTACTTTTACGTTTTCCTTGCAATGATTTCTTACATTACTACAATAGTATGTAATATACAATAGTACATTACTACGATAGTACATAGGACATTGAACAGGTAAAACTGTGATGTTTTTGCCATGTTGAAATGTAGAGATTTCTGCAGCGAGACAAAGAATAGTCTGCCTGGAACTGTGATTCTCAACTTGAGCGTGCGTAAGGCTCACTTGGGAGGCTGATCAAAATGAGAGATTTCTGCCCTCATCTGATCTACTAGGGCCCTAGGGATATGAACCCCAAGCACTCCTGGAGATTCTGATGTAGATGGTTTCAGGACCACACTTGAGAAACACTGGCTTTGATCATAGCAACATCAGCCTCAGGAACATTGATGAATACAGGAGGTCAGGGTGTGCTATGGAGAAAATGGATGTTGTTAGCGTAAGATGTGGTAGGGAAGAGAAGCTAGCCAGAATTAGACTGGATGATTCCTTAGTGCTTCTCTAATAGAAGATTGATGGCCAGGCCAATGAACTCCACAAAACAGCCCCATCCTTCTTGATGACCTGCACCCACATATTACAAGGGTTGTCCATCCAATGACTCCGAGGGAAACCAGTGTTCCAAAATGGGAGGAATGAGGGTTGAATAGCACCCAGTGCAAACCCAGTGGGAACCAAACAGCACCCACAGGAAATGACATCCTTTGAGCTGTCACCTTTCTGTGCAACTACTTCATGTATTTATTTAGACACCCATGCCTCTATTTATTCCAAAAATATCGATAAGGGGAATTTCAACTTGGCATCTTCACAATATTAAGTGCATAGTGTGCATTTCTCCAGGTCAGTTGCTTTTGTCAGATTCTCAAAGGGGTTCGGGACCACAAAGAGTTAAGTAGTACAGATTTTAGAACAATGAAAAGACTGTTGACCATGACCCCTAAGCTCTCCTGATCCTCGCTGTGATATGAGTTGATAACAAGAGAGCATGAGAGAAGGAGGAAGCTGGCAGTGCCTGTTCTCGATTGTGTGCAGTGCCTCGTGGGGTGGTAGCCGAGTGCCACTCCTATCCATAAGGGTGGGTACAGGTGGTTCAGAAGGCCACTCTGCCCTCACGTGGCTTGTAGACAGCAACATACTGCAAACCCACACAAACAGTCTACTAAGCAAGATGTAAGTGAGTAGCTCAGTGAGGCTCTGAGTATATAAGATCTGAGGATATAAGATCTAAGGGTGAAATACTAATCTTGGAACTGTACTGTCACAGAGCAAACCATTGGGGTGGAGAGAGAATGAAGAGGAAAACCCTCATGCGTGTTGCAATCCAATGTGGCAGGCTTCACAAGCTCAATTTCCAACTCCTAGGAATGATTTCAACCTACTCCATTGAAATGGAAATTATTCAAAAGTTGTTCTGGAAAATCTTGAAGAAGTCATTTAAAATAAAATCAAGGTCCTGCAATCAATCAGGAGTGATCCTGCCTTCCCTTGCTCAAAAGGGACAGCAGGAAGGAATGTTGAATTCACTTTCTGCCATGTTACCTCTTTCCTCCTTGATGGAAATGTTTTACCATTCTGTAATGTGTCCTTCTGAAGTCTGTGCTCTTCATTTTCCTTGGTAGTTAGACCCTGAGATTTCTGATATAACTAACCATTTTTATAATACAGGCATCATGACCTAGACAGGATATGGTTTTATTTCGGAGGGACAGTTATATAGACAAAGATTATATAAATGTATTTGTGGTATTAAATTATTCATAGATAATATTTTTATCACATGTTACTACACAGCACTTACAGACCGTAAGAGTGACAGACTTACAGCACTACAGACCGTAAGAGTGACACATTTGAGTAATATATTCAGTCCTAACTGCTTCCTGATGAACAGAGTTTATAGAATATAAGGGAAGGTTAATATCATTTGAAATGAAATAAGGGGGGAAAGTTGCTAGGATCAATATGTCCAGAGATGTGGATAAAAGGTTACATAGAACATTAACCTGTAGTAGCAATGTGATTATTACATGGTTTATATGCAAGGAAATGCATTTTATTTTCAAGAGATAATCCATGTGTAAATGGTTTCTAGTGTGAAAATCATTCACCGATAAGGACAGACCCAGTTGGATCCCCTTTGTCTGAATTCAGGAGATGTCCATTCTGGGAGCAAGAACTGGCAAAGAAGTATTCCTACAAAATGGTAGGCTTGCATGCCTGGGAGAAACTAACTTTTCATGCCTTTGATGCCCAGAGGAGTAAATGTCTTCTTAGTTTGCCTGTGATCATTTGAACCCGATGGAGTGATATCTGCCTTCTCCCAGACCTGTGAGCACCAACATACCCTCCTGGGCTTGGTGGCAGTCAGGAAATTCAGATCTTCCCCTCACATCCTATAGAAAGGCTCTACCTGGGACCACTTTGTCATCTAGAATGAGGGCTCCCCTATGACAGAGCAGAGAACAGATAGGCAGATTTTCTAGAAACTGGGACAGGGGAATATGAAGGGGGAAATTGGGGTTTAGGGAGAAAGATGTCAGAGACTGGTGGCCTCTTTAGTGGGTGGTACAGACCCTGGGGTTATGACTTCAAAACTGAAGCTATGTCCATGTTAGGCCAATAATGTGTATCCATTGCTCCATATAAATAAATAGCACCGTTAGAACTCAGCTACTTTCATAGCTGAACTGCAACATAGGCAGCAGCCTCTAAGGGCTGAGAGAGGTCTTTGAGGATCAGTTCATTCTTGAAGTGACTTTACAACTGAAATGATTTTCCATATCCTTCCTAGATGGCCTTTCTTGCTGATGAATACTACAACTATTGCCAAGATATTTTACAAAACGTGAAGAACCAAGAACTTGAGAGGGTAGGGTTTTAGCTATAAAATACAAGTATTTATGACTCATTATTAATCATTTTACTTGAAAAGACCCCCTCAAGAGATGTCTAGTGGTAATTCATTGCACTGTAGTGCTTAGAAGTCAGCTATTTATAGATACTGAGGTGATATCTGAGGTGATATTTTTATTCAGTTTAATCATTTGGAAATTTTCCAAGGTGCTAATATAACCTTATGCTTCAAATATAATTCAGCTATTTCTTAAAGATCTAATTCATGCTGATTTTGAATAAAGTATTGGTAATATTATTCACCTTAGAATTTTCAGTCATGCTGAAGAGCCATTTTATTGATAAATGCTAACCGAAAAAAGAAGCAAAACTTTGAAGCAGGGTCATCTGTGTTGTAATGATTGGGTTTTATTCTAGAATTGGCTGTGGAAAACACAAACACGTCTTTTAACCATTCTGAATTTTATCTTTTGCAGTAGAAAATTCAGGGAAACAAGCACACATTTAAATGAAAGCTTTTCTGATGCCTAGGGTTCTAAGTACTTCAGCTTTGGGTGATAATATTCATTTAGCATGACTTCATTTAGTACTTATTCAGTGTAAAGCATTATAGTGAAGGAGAGACCAAAATGGCTTCAGGATGACCCCTGTCCTACTGATGCAATTTTCTCAATATCCATCCACCTTGAATATCTAATACACTCCTTTCCTTCATTTGCTCATCAAACATTAACTTAATTTTTACCCTGTGACTAGTACCATTTCTGGAACTAGGAAGGTATTCTCCATAAGGCTTAAGCTTATAATCTGCCTGAAGGGCACAGATCTAAGGGTCGAGAGGACGTTCGGCCTCTGTGAGCCGCAGCCTTTTGGAGGGAGCGGTTGTGTGTTCACCATCTTAGGAAGATGTTCTCGTCCGCGGCGCGTCTGGTGCGGGCGAACCCGTTCAACGTGCCGCACCTGCAGCTGGTACACGATGGCCTCGCAGGCCCCCGCCGCAGCCTCGCAGGCCCCCCGGGCCCACCCCGCCGCTCCCGCCCCTGCAATCTGGCAGCAGCCGCTGTGGAAGAGTACAGTTGCGAATATGGCTCCATGAAGTTTTATGCACTGTGTGGCTTTGGTGGGGTCTTAAGTTGTGGTCTGACAAACACTGCTGTCGTTCCTCTGGATTTAGTGAAATGCCCTATGCAGGTGGACTCCCAGAAGTACAAGGGCATATTTAATGGATTCTCAGTTACACTTAAAGAGGGTTGGTGTTCCTGGTTTGGCTAAAGGATGGGCTCCGACTTTCATTGGCTACTCTATGCAGGGGCTCTGCAACTTTGGCTCTTATGAAGTTTTCAAAGTCTTGTATAGCAACATGCTTGGGGAGGAGCATGCCTATCTCTGGCGCACATCACTATATTTGGCTACTCCTGCCAGTGCAGAATTCTTTGCTGACATTGCCCTGACTCCTATGGAAGCTGCTAAGGTTCAAATTCAAACCCAGCCAGGTTATGCCAACACTTTGAGGGATGCAGCTCCCAAAATGTGTAAGGAAGAAGGCTTAAAAGCATTCTACAAGGGAGTTGCCCCTCTCTGGATGAGACAGATACCATATACCATGATGAAATTTGCCTGCTTTGAACATATCATTGAAGCATTGTACAAGTTTGTGGTTCCTAAGCCCCAAAGTGAATGTTCAAAGGCAGAGCAACTGGTTGTAACATTTGTGGCAGGTTACATAGCTGGAGTCTTCTGTGCAATTGTTTCTCACCCTGCTGATTCCGTGGTATCTGTGTTGAATAAGGAGAAAGGTAGCAGTGCTTCTCAAGTTCTTCAGAGACTTGGATTTAAAGGTGTGTGGAAGGGACTCTCTGCCCGTATCATCATGATTGGCACTCTGACTGCACTACAGTGGCTCATGTATGACTCTGTGAAGATCTACTTCAGGCTCCCTCACCCTCCTCCACCTGAAATGCCAGAGTCTCTGGCATTTCAACCCAAGAAGAAGCTTGGGTTAACTCAGTAGAATGATCAAAGCAAGTGTGGACTGAATCTGTGTTGTTGATCAGTGTTGCGGAAAGTGCAAGAGGAACTTTTATATATTTGACAGTGTAGGAAATTGTTTATTCCTGGTATAATTACTGTAGTCTCTTGCCTAAGGTGAGGGTTTCAAACCCACTGTTGAAATAAACCCAGCTATTCATGAAAAAAAAAAAGCTTACAATCTGGTACTAAAAGGAGCAATATAAGCCAATAAATATGATACAGTATGGCAAGTTCTAGAATGGCAGCTTGATTAGATTGTTCCAGGTGCCGGGAGAAAGAGTAAAAATGATGGCCGGATAGTCTCCCAAGGGGAAGCCATGATGCTATTTATTGCAGTGGAAAAGCAGAGGTTCAGATACACTCAAAAGTGCAGTAGGAAAGGAGTTCCAGGTAGAACTAATGGTGTAGGTGAGAGCAGCAAGATGTTCTCAGGCATGACATGACGGGAGAGTCACTGTGACTAGATATAAATATCCATTAAGGAGAGAACCATAGGGGATGTGGGAAAGTGGTCTGATCTAGAAAGGGCCTCATGCCCTGTGAAGAATTCTGATTGATTGAGAAGGTGGTGGGGGAGCAGTGATGCAAGACTGCCATATTGGAGCAGACGGCAATGAGGAGGTTTTGTCTTAGTCAAGGTGAGAAGTGAGGGGAGGGGTCAAGTCTGGAACAGTGACAGTGACATCAGAGAGAAAGATGGGCAAATTGGAGAAATATTTCTGAAGCAGATGCAACAGGATTGGATGACTTTGGACAAGGGTGGTGAGGGATTTAGCAGAGATGAGCCCGTGGTTGCTACCTCATTCAGACCCACCAACCCCAAAAGCCATGCTCCAAAGTTACCAACCTGACAGTAAAAAGATTAAATAATCCTATTCATCCCACTATTGCATTTTTTGTTCCATATCTATGAGTCTCTTTGGAGATGTCTTCTCTAAAATTAATGCCCCAATAACTGGATTTCAAATCACAGGCTCATCATCAGGTACTTTGAGAGTTGGCTGTAACTTCCTTGACAGCCTGTATACAGGAATAGCTCTTTGCCTAGAGTCATCAGCAGGGCCTCATGTCAGGATTTCAGCGCTGTAAAATATTTGAGCCTGCAAAAATCCTAAAAAGGCAAGGGTCTTTATTAGTTGGCATCTCAGATTGGCCACCTGGTTCAATAATAGAGTCTGAAGAGTCAACATGGGCAAACATAAAGAAAAGTAAGGAAGCTGCCATTTTGTTCCACAACCAAAGGTATCTACAGAAGTCTTTAAAGAAGGCTCCATGGAGAATGATACCGGTGCCCTTTGGCTCACATAGTCCTTGGGTGAATTCTAATTTATCAAGGAGGCCTCTTTGATTACATACTGTTACACATCCTTCTGAGCTGACAAGTAATTGAGGGAGTCAGTCAGTCAATGAACATTTGTTCTAAACGGTGGTCTGTGCCCTGTGGCCAGATCCTCATCCTATTACAAATCAACAGGAGCCCCCTTGTGGTCAGAAACAACCTTCATTCCAGAAAACTTCTTGAAAATGCCATTCCACATCATCCCATCCAACTGGCTAGTGGCTCACTGATGGGTTGCTGGAAAGAACACTTCTAAAACACAGCTTGGAAAAGCTGATAGGCCGAGCTATACATTAACTGGACTGAAATTAATCCCATTACCATTTGGGGCTGATTAGGTATATAACGGGGCATCAGTCTCACCAGACACAAAATGAATTTTGGGAGGTATGTTCTGTTCCCTCATCAGGTGGAGGACTTGCTCACTTCCTTCTGGAAATCTCTGCAGCAAGACACAGTCATGCTTATGACATTGCCCGATGTGTGCCAGCTCTTTAAATGCTACGATGTGCAACTGTACAAGGTAGGAAGACATTTGCTTGCCTTGCTGGTTTGTGTCCTTTCCAGAAACCAATACCAGATGCTGGGATTAGGACTGCAGCCCTCCTGTTCTGCAGTCTCCATGGACTTCAGGCCCTCTAAGGAGTAAATCATGGTGTTGATGGAGCCTTTTAATCTTTCCCTAAAACTCAGCTTCTTTTAAATTCGGTGAGAGTTACCTCATGGAAAGAAAAAGCCAGTACACCTGGTGATGTATGGGTCCAGTGATTAGTGAGCCCTGCACTGAGTCAAAGTTCTTTCTCTGGTAACATCAACAAAGAAGTCTTTAAAATGAGTAATTGGAATAATTGCTTTGGAATATACAGAAGTGCTGGGTTTTCTCATTGCTTTTTTTAAATGCTCGACCTCCAGAGTGATTACTGTTATTTGGGAATCAATTATATATAATTTCTATGCTTCTCCTGAAGCTGGTCATGAACCTTTACCTCTTACTTTATTATTTTTTAGGAAACAATCTAGTACCTCGAAATGTTTAACACAATGGTTGAAAACTGGAGGCTGGGTTCAGCCCTTATGTAGTTGGGCTTGATCCCATCTACTATTGGTTGAAATAGTGTTTCTGAAAATTTTTGAAACAATTATCAGTATTTTAAGATCTTTGAAAAAAATCCCATTCTGGCCACACACCCCACGCATTGAGCAGAGGCGAGGCCTACATGGTAGCTTTCTCTCTGAGTTTGTGGCACGGCCGAACATGGCCACTTAGAACTGGAGGATGCCTACCCTGGCCGGTAGTCACCACCTCTCGACAATTACATTGTAGGGAATTGAGGATGTTCTCCTTCATGACTTTTTGGAAGATGTTTCTATCCAGTACCTGAAGTCTGTCCGGTTATTCAGCAAGAAATTTAAGCTGTGGCTACTTAATGCTTTGGAAGGTTTTCCAGCCCTTGTACAGATCTCTAAACTCAAAGGTAGGTTTCAATGAAAAGAAAAAAATGAATTTTGTGAGAGTAGATGAAGGATCTAACTTTCACACTGAGGCAGGACATCTCAGCGGGTGGGTAACTCTTCCCCTCCTGCGCTAAACTGAAGCCCGCAAGGCCTGACCAGTTTGGATCTGCTGGCATTTTCTTTAGTGCAATGTTGGGTCCTTGTGCTGATCCATCCACACCCTTTCATCGATTGCCCCTTATAAATCCTAACATGGATTTCTGTCAGGCCCACGGGGTTAGAGGTGCAGAAAAGGTGCCGCTGACTATGGTCCAGGCAGGGGAGAAGCCACAGTGCGTCCAGCTGGTGACTAATGTGTGCCTTCTCAAACCAGCCTCCTGAGGGCAGCCTGCAATCCTTGGGCTAGGTGGCCCAATATTCTTCCGCCTCTTTGTGCTCTGTTTGGCCTCCCAGCAAGGCTTCCAAGAATATCGCTCCCTCCTTAGAAATTCCTCCCATGTCCTTAACTTTTTCACACCTCTTGGGCCACTGGGGCATTCCCACTTTTGTGGTCTCGGTCTCCCCATTGACCTTCTAGAACATGTTCCCTTCCATCCTGCTGCCAGGTGGTAGTCTCTGAAGACTACTTCCCCCAGGCTGCTTGTCTGCTCAAGGCCTACAGCAGCTTAAAATGCCAACACTCACCCGCGTGTGCGGGACATGCTTTATGGTCCTGGAATACCTCTTTTCCCCCTCCTGCCTCTGTGAGGTTTTCCACCACTGCCGGTAGCTGCCTCCAGCGCCCTCCCCACCCGGGCCCTCCTCTTCCTGGGCCAGCTTGCTCAGGGCTGAGTCTTGCTTTCTTTGCACACTGTTTGCTGTCTTCTCAGACTGGCCCCAGAACAGGACCAGCTCTAATTTTAACCCACCAACCCTGCACCCCTTGCTGTGTTCAGTACTCACACTGGGAACCTTGATCCCATGCGACCCACCTGGACATGTTCCCATGGCCAAGCAGGGACCATGGGCCGGAGACTGCCAGCCAAGAATCAGCAGAAAGAGCGTGTTGCAGGGAACGTGAGGTTCCCTGCTGTGGCAGAGGGTCCATGAAGTGAGGAAATGTCGCCACTCAAGCCCAGTCTCCCTCCGTCCCTCCCTGAGGCTACTTCAGAGCTTTCTTGTTGGTCATCCTGCCTCCAGCCTCACCCCCTCGATCACACATCCCTCTGCCCCTAGTGATGGTTCTACACAGTGATCTGACCCACTAAAACCTTCCACGGTCCCTGCTGCCTGGACGGTCCACAGGCCTTCACTCACTATGCAGAGTCATTTACAGCTTGGCGTCTGGTCTCATCCTTGTCCCAAACCCCTGGGGGAATCCCCCCACTGGTGCTCCCCAGCAACACAAGACAGGTTGTATCCAAAAAGGTCCTTATTCCTGCTCCTGTCTCTGCCTAGACTGCCAGCCCCGTCCCCACCCCCCACCTCCCTCCCCCGCCAAGCCCTCTCCCCTCCCTAACTCCTAACTTGCACATTCTAAATGAAGCCACACCTGACACCTTCTTCCAAACAGGCCCCTCCCTCCCCTCTGCACCCCCCCACACCCCATCCTTCATTCTTCCCCAGGTGGCTCTCACACTGCCCGGGGCTCTTACCCTGCTGTGGGGAAGGCATCTGCAGGTCTGGTGACCCATCCTCAGAGGGTGAGCCCTTAGCAGGTAGAGGCTGCCCTCCTTTGTCCAACAATCCGGTGAACACCCAGCACACATTTATGGAGCAAACACTGCACTAGTGTCCCTCATAAATATTTGTCAGATGAATACATGCACACACTCCCTTTATGTTTCCTCTTTTCACCCTTTCCTTTTCTTGGGTCACTTTTCTTTTTTAAAGATTTATTTATTTATTTGAGAGAGAGCGAGTGAGCATGGGGGGAGGAACAGAAGGAGAGGGAGAATCCTGAAGCCGTCTCCCCATTGAGCACAGAGCCCAATGCGGGGCTCGATCCCAGGACCCTGAGATCCTGACCTGAGCTGAAATCAAGAGTCGGACGCTCAAGTGACTGAACCACCCAGGCGCCCCTCCTTGGGTCAGTTGTTGAGGAGAGCACTGTAGAGATGACAAAGTTGGGGGAACTCCTTTGAGCAGGCACGTCAGATGCTGGGAGTACATCACATTCTGGCACGGAGGGGCGGGGGGGATGGTTTTAGTCAAGTGGCCCCTGCCAGTATCTCCTAGCCATTCGGGAAAGGGCCAGTGGGCAGTGGGAAGACCAGGATGCATGGAGGCCTCCCTGTGTGGAGGGCAGTTTAGGCAGCTGTACCTTCCTGGGCAAACCCGCGGGCCTCACGTCTGTGCTGTGCGCCCTCTTCCCCACTGTGTACGTAAGAACTTGAAGCTACAGGGGCGCCTGGGTGGTTCAGTCGGTTAAGCATCTGCCTTCGGCTAAGGTCATGATCCCAGGGGCCTGGGCTCGAGGCCCGCATCAGGCTCCCTGCTCAGTGGGGAGTCTGCTTCTCCCTCTCCCTCTGCCCCTCCCCCTGCTTGTGCGCTCTCTCACCTGCTCTCTCTCTCTGTCAAGTAAATAAATAAAAATATTTATTTAAAAAAAAACTTGTAGCTACAGTATTAATAATGGCCATATGTTTTGTTCTCAACAGAAGTTACTGTGTTTGTTAAAAGACTAAGAAGGAAGACATACCTTTCCAACATGGCAAAGGTAGGTTTCAGCCAACAGGACAGTAGGGAACAAAGCAGTTTCCTGAAGCAAAAAGTGAAAGCTGCAAGTATGTCCTAAGAGCAGGTGGTAGCTCCCGTTGTAGGGAGGCCATATCCATCCCCTTAGAGGGCAGAGGGCAGACAGGAGGACCTTGTTGGCCACTAACTGGGAAGGTGTAGAGTGCCCAAAACTCTCAGCTAGAAGCCCACCCCACTGTTCCCCTGCTCAGAAAGGTTCTCCCTGCAGGAGAAAAAGCAGAACAAGCAGGTCAGTGTTCTGAAGTTCAAGAGGAAGAATCCACGTAAGTGCTGACCGGGGCCAGCCAGTGTCAGAGGTGAAAGGGCATCATGGCAGAGTCTAGAATAGACAGATGGAGACCGTCACCCTGTGCAAGGCCCCACGGACTCCGTGTGTCCAGTCTGCCAGGTTTCTCAGCTCTGACCTTTTCCCTCCTGGGTTGTTTAGGTAGCTTCAGTGTTAGAGGAAGGCAGAGAAGGGCTGAAAGAAAGATTCTATAATGCCAGTGTGTGGGCCCCTCAGGAATCTGTTCTGAAATCCTGTGGACACCAGATTGGGACAGCGCTTAGACTGCAGCTCTGTTCCAAATCAGTCCCAGCTCGGGAGGAGCACTGCTGGGCCCCTCCGCTTCGCCATCTCTGTCCTTCCAGCACAAAACTCTCTCTCGACTTCACGTTTCCCGGGGTTGTTTCCTGCCTATGTGCTCACAGCCCATCCGGTTCTCCAGCACTTTCTCGTTCCTGATTGGGTCAACTGGTGATGGCCAGCCCAAGTGGCAAGCTCGGGTTCTAGAGCCACCCTGCTCCGAATCTTCTCTTTCTGAACATGATGGCTGGGGGAATGTTTACTCAACACCCCAGGTGCCCTCAGGCTCCTCCCCTGTCAGATGGAGGAGGTAGCTGCAGGGCCTGCCCCTGAGGCTGGTGTTGAGGATGACCCCCTGCTCAGCCCTGGGGCTCCAGAAATGGAGGGGATTGGATTGTCCCCGTTGGGTGGCTGAAAAAGTCAGCTCCCAGCAGCTGAATTCATGGCCCAGGGGAAGTACAGAGGTAGCGTCTGGTGCCCGCAGCCCCCCTCTGGAACTGGCGTCTGTGGAGCCACATTCTCCTTGCAGAGCTTCCGGCAGAGCCGCCGTGCTCCTCTCTAGAGTAGTTCAGGTGCTTGGGGTGGGGTGCAGGGAATAAGAATCAGAGAGAGGAAGAGCCACAGAGCCCCAGGAGCCCTGCCCACATCTGCCTCTGAGCAGAAGGACTCTGAAAGGTGATTTTCAAAAAGGCCATCCTAGAATACGTGCAATTTGGACATTTCAGTTGTCATGTAGGATTCAGTTTTAGTGGGTAATACCCAAATCCACTTCTCTTTCTCCTAAAAAAAAAACAAAAAAACAAAAACTTAAGTCTTTTGGAGAGGGGAATTAGGCAAAAGTAAAAGGACAAGATTTAATGAAGTTATTATGCTTCTCCATTATCTTTAGACTATGAGAATGGTGTTGAAAAATAACAGGAGAGTCAGCGTTTTGAAGTCGGATCTACATGCCATCATCAGTCAGGGCACTTTGGACATGTCTAAGAAAGCCCTGCCAAGTAACCCGAGTAGTGCCGCTGACCTGGAGACACATGCGGAGATGAAATGTAATCTCCCTTCTGCACCTTGCGTTATTGGGTCATTTGGGATATATTTGGGGCTGGCGTGGCCATCACTAGTTTATGAATTCTTAATAGAGGTGGAACCTACTTTACTCTTTGATATTATCATTTATCTGCTCGCACATCTCTTCCTGCAGGGGTGAGGAAGGGTCCGCCAGGTCACCAGTGCTAATACACGTTTGTTGAATGAATGAACAGAGGAGGGTGGTTGTTGCTTCCCAGTATTTCTTCCTGGAAATCAACCTAGGGTGTCTCCTTTGGAAAAAACATCGATCTTGTGCATGCAGATTCAACAGTGTCTCTTCTAACTCGGTCCGAATCACATTAAGTTAACCCTGCCTTGCCAGATTCCGCTGTGTCACTATTGTGAGCATCGCCAGTGTTATTTTTCACAAGGTGAAGCTTAGCCATGTGCTCTTACCGTTATTTCACTACTTTCCAAACAAGTGATAGTAAGTATGTGGATATTCCTGCCCTTTGCTATCTGAGAGTTGTAACTGTTTTCAAGGGAAAAATCTCCCTTGCACAAAGAGCTTGGCAAGCGGGCTGACAGCATTGTTCCATCTCCGGGAAGCGAGAGTAGTGAGAGAAGCAGCTGTCCTCACTCAGCGGGGAGAACCTGGGTGCTGTTTCAGGAGGAGGAGGAGAGCTGCAGAAGGTGTATGACCTCCTCCCCCAGACGACGGGCAAATCTCTAGGCCTTTGTAGGAGAGTTGCCAGGAGGGGCCATGGGAGACGCGCTCCATTCATGCACATTCCAGACACTCCCCCAGGATGGCCCAGGAAGGTCCAGTAGCCTCATCCTCCATGAGCCTGGCCCTGTCCTGATACACTTAGCTGTGCTGAGAGCTGCCTCGCCAGAACCTGTGGGCTTCTTCCGGTGTCAGCTGTGGCTTATTCATCTTGGTCCACCAACACGGTGCTGGCGCATGGTAGCACCCGCATACTTCATAACTAGATGAATACATGGATTCAGTAGTGCATAAATGCACCACAAATTATCCTGGCCTCTTTCTTTAACCTGGAAGTAGGGCCGACTTTGGTAGGATTGTACCCGTTATTAAAATATATAAATAGGTCCATACTTGTCGGTGGGTCGCCCCTGCCCCTATTGTCTGGCTGTTCCAAATCCCAGCTCCTCCCCTCCCAAACCAGTAATGAGAAGGTAAACCCCTAACCTAGGAAACTTCAGAGATATGGACAAGCAGTGCTCATTAGTAGGAGCCCAAAAGGCCCCCTTCCCAGGCTACTGGTTCTCCCCCAAACTCCAGGTAATTGCCCAAAGCCTGCTCTTGCCCCCAGCCAGAGCCCAGGGAGCCCCAGAAGGGCATGAGGCCTCTCCCCCAGAAGCCTGCCCAGTAGTCCTGTGTGCTCCTACTGGCATTCTTATGAAAAGAACTTCTAAGAGGGCACAGAGCCAGCAGGGAGGCAGTATTCTGGTCACCACTGCTGACGCCTAGCTGATAAATGCTTGAGGTGTCCCTGGAGGATCCTCCAGATGAGACCTGGCCAAGCCTCAGTCAGGGCCATGGCAACTTACTCGGGTTTCTAAACTCTGCTTGGTACATAGCCGCATTCCAAAAGGTGGGCGAGCCCAAGGCTGTTCTTTGCTCATTGCTGCCTGTGCAGGTGAGGACCCAGTCCTGATGTCACACATGCTTGGGCCCCACCCTTCAGGTCTGTACTGAGTTTATAGCCCCAGGCAAGGCACATCCCTCATCGGCTTTGATGTCCACCATGGGTTTAAAGGACACTAATAAACTACCCCTCTTGTGAAAACGGCAAGGGTAGGTGAGCTCATGTCTGTATCATGCAATGAGCTCATCTGTAGCTGGGTTCTATATAATTACAAGGTGTAGTTATTATTTCAAAATATTTTTTTTCCATTTCAACAAGTGACAGACGTGGTTCCTAAGAGGCAAGACCATGTAACTCTGAACTAGTTGACCGCAGAGGTGACAAATCCAGCTTTAGAATTCTTCCTTTGTGTTCAAAAGGAGTGTGAGGCCCCAGGAAATGCCTTTGAACTACCGGTCCAGTGTTGTCCCCTAGGTCACCTAGTATACAAATACCTACAGTAAAATCCTGCTACTTTGCTCACAATCGTTTTGTTTCTTTTGTTTCCAGGTTTAAGCAGTTTGATTTCTTTGCTGGGGACATCCACAGATCTCAGCATATTCCTGAATTGTCTATCCTCAAATCTCCAAACATTTGTCTTCCAGGTACAAAACCATTATTTTTTTTTAAAGGGAAGAAAGGGCTGTTGATCATTCTAGCTACATTTTAGCACCAGTGCCCATGACCTGGTGCAATGAAAGAGTTTTCTCTGGCCAGAAATGTGTCAAGGTTGGTGCGGGTGTTAAAGATAGGGAAGTGGTGTCTCAATACCTCCTGCAACAAGGCAGGAATCAGAGGCTGGCACATACAGGTGTGTGTTTGTGGGTGAGCACGTGCATTTGGGTGAGCATGTGTGGTCTCAGGTGTGTGTGCAAGTGAGCATGTATGTGCAGGTGAGTGGGGGTGATGGTGGATGAGCATGTGTGTGGGGGTGAGCATGTGTGTGCAAGTGAGCATGAGTGTGGAGTGAACATGGGTATGTAGGTGAATGTGTGTGAGGGTGGGTGAGCATGTGCGAGCCCATGAGCATGGATGAGTGTATGTGTGCACCAAGCAAGGATGTCTAGGAGGAAGAGGGAAAACAGTCTATTTAGGGAGAACAGTGCTGGTCTAGGTATTTTGCAGAACCATCCAAGTGCTAAGCTTGATTTCACAAAATCAAAGATGCATTGTTTTAGATACAGATGGGTTTGGTCCTTCTGGTCGACTTGAAACTTGGGTGTTACTTGACTAGGGCGTTACTTTGGCTTGTTGTCCTCATCCTCTGCCTTGGCAGCCTCACTGTAAGAGCTAAGAGTACTGTCAGAGAAAGTCCCAGCACCCCCGCCCAGCGACCCAGCGGGGGTGGTGGCTGAGGAGCTGGGGGCTATGCATTAAAACCTAGACCCAAACAAGGCAGCCGGTGGCTGCGCTGCCTTGAGGCATTGTCCTCTGAAGGCTGAGGCAGTTAGGAAGGGCCTTGATGAGGGAGGTGGGATTTAAACAAGATGTAGAAGGTGAATAGGATTAAAGCAAACTAAGAAAAGGAACAATGTCCACATGAGACTGGCAAGAGCAGAATGAGCATATGGAAAAATGGAGGGCCATTTACGGAAGAAGCAGACGTCTCTGGAGCAGAGAACAAAGACTTGGAGGGCCTGGGCCAGAAACTCAACTTTGGGCTTTCTGTTAAGCCTCCAGTCACATTTCTTTCTCTTCCCCTTCCTGCCCCACGTGTTCTTGTCTATATGCCTGTCCTCCCCATCAAAGAAAAAAGGGCACAGGTAATACCTAATACTGCAGGCGGCAGTAAGGTGACACACCTCAGAGATGAACCAGGAAACTTTTCAGGAAGGAGTTTGGAAGTCAGTTCCAGCGCTTGGCAGGTGTCTGTTTCCATTCTTTGCCTCTGGGTGATAATCGTTCCAGATTCCATATGGCTTTTCTTTCTCCTCGTTGGGCTTTGGCAAAGCCTGTTTGTAACAGTGGTAAGCATGTCTAGGGTTGCTTTGCTGTGGATACATGTATTTATTTGATAGCTTCACCCGTAGAAGCTTTCAAGCCTCTGTTCCTTGTTTTGGGTTTTCACTCTACCCCTGACTTGAACCAAGATGAGTCCCCCTGAGACCAGTAATACCAATCCTGCCTCAAAGCAGCCCGAGAGGCTCACCCTGTTTTAGACCATGTAACACTGTATTTCCCAAGACTCCCACCCCCATATCTTCAGCCTTCACAAATGAGGCATGTTAGAAAAATGGTATTTTTGTAACCGTGCCTTTGAAGGGCTTGTTTTTGTACAACATCTTGGCTGATAAAAAACCAGACTATTGTCAATAAAATACTCAGACTGTGGAAATGTAAGCCCTGAGGCATGTGGGAGGTGACTAACGGCTTCGGTGGCTGGCGTCTGGCTGCAGGCTCGCATAGGAAGCTGGTCAGCTGGGTCACGTGCTCCCTCTCCCAGTTCTCGCTGGTTTGGGCCCAGCAGCAGCTTCTGGACACAGGGGCCTGAAGTGCCACGTGGGTGGCCACAGCGCTCAGGGTTTACATTTCAACACTTGTGCAGAGTGCTGGTCACCCAGGGCTACTTCTCCCCATGCTTTTCAGAAGTATCCTTGTGTCTGTTGAGCGGGGCTCCTCCTGGGAGCCCTGTGTTAGGTGGTCAGAAGCACCAGGCCAGGGGCCAGGAGCCCACTGTGGGAGGATGCTGCTCCTGGATGGGGTTCACCACCTCCCAGAGCCTGGGGCACTCACAGTGTGCAGAGGAAGGAGCAGCAGAGATGAAAAGGGGTATTATTCCCTCATTTCTAGCCAGGCTCAACATCTCCTCCTCAGAGACTTGCGGTCGCACCCTGTGTGTGGCCCACATACATGATGAGGCTTAGGAGGGCTTCAGGGGCGTTCATTCTAACACATGCCCGCGAGATTCATAGGATCCCCAAGGCGACTCTCCGTCTAGATGGAGTTTCGCAGCCTGCATGTGGAGGCATCTCACTGGTACCCAGTTTAGTGCTACCCAGCCTGTCCACTGGCTGCCCGGATGGAAGCTTCCAGGCTTCAGGTCATGCACATGGCGCAGCGGCCAGCTTTGTGCTTTCCAGAATCAGTGCAGTTACCTTCAGTGTGGGGTCCTGGGCCGCTTTTGCACGCACTCGGACTGGGCAGGCATAGAGCGGCCAGCAGCTCTCTCAGGGGCGACTGCCAGGTGGGCCCAGAGAGGCTGCCCGCGCCAGTCCTCTGTGGTGCTTCACAAATGACCGCTTTTGAAAAACTGTGTGGAATCAAAACAAAAAACGTAGGCCAGTTACCCACCTCTTTCCTTCTCTCCACCAACCTCAAAGGGTTCTGCCCTAGAATCATCTCCACAGCAGATGCGGGAGACCACAAATAGGCCAGTGTGCCTCTGCCTCATCGTTTCTTCTTCCTCTTCTCTCCCAGCCACTTGGGGGCATCTGTGCGTGGCAGCCGTGCGCACATGATCTTCCGGACTTTGTCACAAACCCCAGCATTTTTTTTCCCTCACAAAAATGTAATAGCCCAGCAGAAGCAAAGAAGAGTTTATCAAATTGGCCGCCAGCTTCCAGCTAAGATGGAATTTCCTTCTCACCACCGTGAGCAAAGCCATGACTCTCTGCCACAGAGATAGTTTCGGTAAGTCAGAGAACACAAAACATTTTGGTATTTTAAAATGTTATTAAGCATAGAATCCAGTCACCTTCTTTTCACCTTTTTAAAAAAATACTTATTTTTGTGAGAGGGAGAGAGAGAGCAGGAACACGAGCAGGGGGAGCGGCAGAGGCAGAGGGAGAAGCAGACTCCCCGCTGAGCAGGGAGCCCGACGAGGGACTCCATCCCAGGACGCTGGGATCATGACCTGAGCCGATGGCAGACGTTCAACCAACTGAGCCACCCAGGCGCCCGCACGAGGTTCTTTATGAGAACCTTTTTTGTAAAATACAACACAGACCTAGAAAGCCATAATAATTGTGTTTTAATGGCAACCGTGATAGTCCATCAAACAGTCAAACCAAGCTTCCCTTTCCCTTTCCATCATGGTTGGATGCATAAGAGGCCTCCCCTTGTTTTTGAATTGTGTACTTGGGTGTTTTTAGAAAAGCACCCAGGGAGCCAACTGAGATGGGAGAAAAATGGGTTCTTTGGGGCACCCAAGTTTAAATTTCAGGACTAACGATTGATCCAGTCACCATTGTATGCAGATGGTGGAAAGAGTGAAGTAGCATCCATTGCAAACTATCTGCTCAAATAGGTGGTCTTTCTCTGTCAGGAAGGGTCACGTCTGTCCCATCTGTGGCAAAGATGCAGCATAGGGGAACTGTAGGAAGGGAAGTTCACCACTGAGCCCCATGGAGAGGATCATTCATTCCAGTGGATAGTTATTCTGTCCCTACAAAGTCCCAGGCACCTTCCCAGGCACTGGGCGTAACAGCAGTGAAAAGACAAAGTCTCCACCCCTTTGAGCTTGCACACCAATCTGGGTGAAGAATCCCTGCTCCAGAGAGCTGCCAGATGCCCTCACGGCAGACAGGTGAAACGAGGAAGAGAAGACAAGCTTTATCGTAGACCAGTTTTGCCAACACTCTGGAACTCTTTCGAGGGTGGCTGCTGTCAGCTGTCATCCATGGAGGTGACACCCACTGGTAATGAGACTCTCCCCTTTAGTGAAGTCCAAAATGACTCTGCTTTATGCTAATGCTCTCCCAGAGCAAAGTGAGGGAGTGGAGCTCCTGTGCTGAGCTCCTGATAAGAAACCCAGCCCTGAAGCTGTTGCCCCCTACCCCACCACACACCCTCTTTGGACCTCTGTATGATGTCCCAAAAAGTATTTACACTGGTTTTTCCTCTTCACGTGGTTAAATGGGCCAGAGGTTACTGGTCAGGCTTATTCCAGACCAGGTCAGGCCATCCTGTCTCCCCGGGATCCATCACGGAAAAACAAACATTGCGTAAGGCTTTGAAATGGACAAAGTTTGCTGGAAATGGACGAAAGGCTTTGAAATAGGCAGAAGGTTGGGTGCACCCTTCTGAGTTATCTTCAGCTTTCCTGTGTTTGAGTTATTTTACAACTCTCTAAATTGTATCAATAATAATGCAAATGATTCTCCCCCAGGGAAATGCAAACTAATTGTCAGGTGGATGCTATTCATTACTGCCCTGAGGACAGATCTGTGGAGCATCTTTACTGTCTATACATGCTCAGTGCTTGGAATTCTCCTTTGAACAAGTTGGCAACATTTTACGAACTTCCTCTTTAATAAATGACTTACATGAGATCTTTGACACATGTTCATTTTATATCTGTAGAGAGCCGTGGTTTTACCTTCATTAAAAAAGTATCTTTTGGGGCGCCTGGGTGGCTCAGTTATTGGGTGTCTGCCTTCAGCTCAGGTCATGATCCCAGGGTCCTGGGATTGAGCCCGGAAGCCTGCTTCTCCCTCTCCTACTCCCCCTGCTTGTGTTCCCTCTCTCTCTGTATCTCTCTCTGTCAAATAAATAAAATTTTTAAGGAAAAAAAAGTATCTTTTAACGATAGCAATAAGCCAGATCCCCCTCCCCTCAACCCTGCGCCGCTTTTCAGCTGAACATTAATTATCCTTCTTTCCTGGAAGACCAAAGGCCTTGGGATTTGGAGCATTCAGCTGAGTCACATGCCCTCCTGTCTCCCCTTCACGATCTCCCTGATGGCGGGCCTGCAGGTGCTACATTTTCAGCCTCCCATTGGCAGCTGGCTCCCTTCCATACTCTGCCTCCACATCTCCTCCCAGCCTGTCCCTTAACTGCCGCGTGTGCCAACCACAGGGAGCTGAGGGGCACATTCTCCAGCTCTGGGAACCACACCTCTTTCTCTGTAGGATTTGCTTTTCTCCCACCTCACATTAGATGGGCTTTAAGTTCCCTCTCATGGCTCAGGCTATTTAGCTGTCTGTGCTTTCTGTCCCAAGAGCCACCTTGCCGGGGTTCACGGGTATGGAATGCCTGCCCAGGACCCCCCAGGATCTGCTATAGGAGTGAGAAGGCCCCAGTACACAGAAGTTAAAAGCCCCAGAAAAGTTGGTAATTCCATAGTGATCTGTTTATCTGTCCATCTGTCTATCTAATTACTCATTTAGGGTTGTTATTTCAATGTAGGCTCTTGGCATCTGTTCCACTTGCTGCTTTTGGAATTTGTGACTCATCTACTTCAGTCATGCATGGAAGAGGAGGAGGAGGACGACGATGGGGGACATCTCAAGGAAATGCTACCAGATGACCAGTCTCTTGTCCAGCCAGACCAGGCGTCTTTCCACCCTCCACATTCTTCACCAACTCAGGAGTATGAAAGCCCAAGTGTGGATCCACACTGGGTGACCCTGAAACACAGGGGCCAGAGCCGATGTCCCATGGGTGTGAGCGGTGTGGTTCTCAGGGTCCTGGGCTTCCTGGTGGACAGTGACACGGGCAATAAGGTACAGACACAGGGGCCCCGGCTTCTGCAGTCTTTGCAAAGGACTAAGAACTATCACATGGTTAGGAAACCCATAAAGATCACTTTGTCCAAACAACGATACACGATTCTAGATCCGTCTTTGCTTTGGGAGATTTTGCCAGAGGTGATTATAGTAGCTTATCTGTTGATCACTGGTCAGCTCAGGTTCGTGGTGCATAGATAGGTACCTGGCACACTCAGAGGTGTGGAATATTTGGATGGCCTGGGTCTTGCCTTCCCACAACTTACCAGGCGTGGTTAGACTGACTGAGCTAACTAAACTAAGAGAGAAGCACTGAAAACACCTCTGGTATTTTGGATTTTGAAAAGATGGAACTGGGGTACATCCTGAAAGATATAAAAATGAGAACTGCTGGGGCGCCTGGGTGGCTCAGTCAATTAAGTGGCCAACTCTTGATTTCAGCTCAGGCCCTGATCTCAGGGTTCTGAGATTGAGCCCCATGTCCGGTTCCACGCTGGGCATGGAGCCTGCTTAAGATTCTCTCTCTCTGCCCTTCCCTCCTTTAAAAAAAAAAAAAAGATTCTCTCTGCCTCTCCCCCACCTCAAAAAAAAAAAAAAGAATTGCTATTTATCTAACACCTACTATACACCCTTTATATGCATTATCTCAAAGCCATATAATCCTGCAAAGTATCTGCTCTTACCATTTTCATGTCATGGCTGAGGTAACTGAGGCTCAGAGAAGCTAAGTGACTTACAAAAAGTCACACAGCAAGTAAACAGTGGAACAGAGATTGGAGTCCTGGCCTGCCTGATCTCCAGTCCATTCTTCTCCCACAACACGAGATCAGAAGAGGGTGATCCATGCCCCAAGGAGAATAGGACACAGGTTGCAGAGGTCAGAGAGGGGGCCCTCTCTGAGTGCCAGAAAGAGGAGCCAAACTGATGAAACAAGCAACTACAACTCCTCTGTTGACCGAGGAAGCGGGGGTACCTGGTGTAAAAAAAAAAAAAAAAAAATTTTTGCCTTAGTATTAATTTTTAAAATTTTTATACACATGTTTGGAAGTTTAGCACAGGATTTCTTTTGAGCCCTCAAGTTCCTTCCTCTTTTGAGAAGATGAGATGTTGAGTTGAGTAGGAGACCCAGGCAGAGGCATTGCCCTTCACCTGAGTTAACAGTGGTCTTGATCATGGAAATGAGTCACAGCCTGAAACTGTCCATGCCCTACAGTCCTCACAATAACCACAACCTCCAAGGGATCTTTCCTTCCTGAACAAACCCTCATTCCAAGTACTCCAGAGTTCAGAGAACCCTGTTAATTTTTTTAAAAGATTTTATTTATTTATTTGAAAGAGAGAGAGAGGGAGAGAGAGCACAGAGGGAGAGGGAGGAGCAGACTCCCCGCTGAGCAGGGAGCCCGATGTGGGGCTCGATCCCAGAAGCCTGAGATCAAATTTTTTTTATATATAAAGATTTATTTATCTATTTTTAGAGAGAGAGTGTAAGCAGGGGGAGGGGCAGAGGGAGAAGGAGAGAATCCACAAGTAGACTCCCTGCTGAGCGGGGAGCTCGACAAGGGGCTCAATCCCAGGACCCTAAGATCATGACCTGGGCTGAAACCAAGAGTTGGATGCTTAACTGACTGAACCACCCAGGCACCCCCAGAGAACCCTGTTATTGAGCACTTGGATTGGAACACCATACTAGACAAAAATAATGTGAGCAAGAGCAAAAGAGATGCCTCTCAGGTTTGCAAATTCTCTGTCTTTGGTTTTTGTTTTCTTACCTTGCAATAGTAAGTTCATATATCTAGCTGCCTTTGATGCTGTTGGTGGAGTAGATTCAGACATGTCTATAAATAAGAAACTCACCTCCTCTGAGAGTGTGTCTGTGAAGCAGACATGATGAATAGGCATGAAATAGGGATATAGTGACATACTGACCTCAAATCAGGGACCCCAGGGCAGGGGCAGGAGAGCTGGGCCGCCTTAGGAGAACAACAGCTGGGGACAATTAGGGCATCACTCACGAGCTGGTATTTCAGGGCTGTTGGCAGAGAGAAGGCCCAGTTAGACCCAGTTGGCCAGGCAGTGCCCAGCGGAATGTCTCTCCCTGCACCCTGACCCTCTGAACGATGTACCCTGTCCTGGCAACAGGGTCCAGAAAGGGCTGGCCAGTAGGAAGCCCCCCTGAGTACACTCTGGAGCATTCTATGGAACCCTAACAGGACAAGCAATTGTGCTGGATGCTCAGCTCCAAGTGTGTACGTCTCTCCACTCACTGGCTGGGGAGAGAGCTAAGACTGTAGACAATTTGACATGCCCCTTAGTCACCAAGGTAACCGGAAGTAAACTTTCACTTCTTTGGCCACAGTTAGAAGCTGGTGGAGAGCAGACACTGTCAGCTCCTTGTGCTGGGCATTTAAATGCATCGTTTCAACAACCCAATGAGATGTACCATCATTGCCCCCGTTTCACAGATAGCATAACTGAGGCTCATGAGGGGTGGAATAATGTTCCCAAGGTCACCTCGCTAGTAATTGACAGAGCAGGGATTCAAACCTCTGTAGATCTCCTGGCAAAACTGTCCCTTCCTAGCACACCCTCTCTCCCCAGAAGGTGCTACCATGTGCTCTAATTCCAAAAGCAGTGACTTGGGAATGAATTAAAAATACCTTCAAGTCTGATGACTTGGGAACGTAAATGGGCAATTCTAGTACATAACTTCCTGGGTTCAAATGCCCCATCTTCCACTTCTTAGCTGAGAACCTTGGGCAGGCTGCTTAATTTATCTGTTCCTCAGCTTCCTTATCTACAAAATGGGAGTAATAATATCTAATTCCGTAGGGCTGTTAAGAAGTTTAAATAAGTCAATCATCGCAAAATTCTTGGAACATAGTAAGAACCCATAATCATTAGTCATCGTTATTATTTCTCCAAAGAAACTTAATCTGAGCGCCTTTCTACAACACTCCACCCAATCCCCTAGCAACTCCGAAGTTTATTGCAGTAGGGTTTGACTTATATTTAATTGGTGGAAACAGTGGAGAAAGACATTAAATACTTAATTGAACTACATAATAAAGCAATACAGGCAGATGAATGTCAGATAACCCAAGGTAATATGCATTAGAGATTAATTAAACCTGCTTCTGTCTGTGCATGCCTGCTGAATTAGCTATAATGAGTTAAACACTCTAACACCAAAAAGTTATGCTCATCTAATTTTTATTGCATTCATTATTCAGCATTTGCACTCCTCGTCAACAAAAAAGCACACCCTCAGTGTCCCATCTGCATTCATCTGCCACGAATTAACACCCCATTCAGCAGCACATCTGTGGCTTCCTCATTCTTTGAACAATTTAGTGTTGCCCTGCACCTATGATGACATCCAGAGTCAGCATTCTGGACTGCCATATCCATCTGTCACTCTTCTACCCTCCAGCAACGTTCACGATAGGAAGGTGCCCAGGAGTGTTTAAGAATAAAGTAAAAAATCACAGATATTAAATAAGGAATATTCTTTTTAAAAACATACCACATGGGGGCACCTGGCTGGCTGAGTCGGTAGAGCACGTGACTCTTGATCTTGGGCTTGTGAGTTTGAGCCCCACGTTAGGTGTAGAGATCACTTAAAAAAATATTTAGAAATAAAAAATAAAAGCATACTACACATTTTTCACTTTAGGGCATGTACTCAAAGATTAAAGCATGGCAAAAATATTTAAAAACAAGGGACTCTGGCTATAGGACAAAGGTAAAGATGATTTTTTTGAGAGAGAAGAAAAACATCCTCTCATTGGGTGGTGATGGTTATTGTCAAATTTAGGGAGAAAGAGTGAGAAATACTTTCACTCACCTTGTGTTTGAAGTTGTTTTGTGTACATCTTTATAAAATATATTCCCTTATGGGGCGTGGAGGGGGTTATCAATGAAACCAGACCCAAGAAAATAGGTCTCTATCAGTTTGAAAGTATTCATGTCCGAGGAATTCCTAATCTTCCCAGTACCATCGGAGCTAAGGGAAGGAAGGCATAGTATCCTGGTTTCTCTGATAGGAAGCCTTGCTCAGGCAAGTTAGATGGCTTATCCAAGAGTGGGCACTAAGCTAACTCTGTGAATCTGTGAATCTCTCAAATCTATTACTACCCAACTGAGTGTTAATTTAACCAATGACTGTTTTCATGGTTCCCCCCCACCACCCCTTATCTACTGGTATATTTGATGGATGGTGGAGGGAGGGTCTATGTGGGAATTTGAGCCAAGAATGCAGGGACTGGTATCCATCTGGAAGGCAGCCAAAGCGATGAGCATTGCAGCCACCTAGGAGCCCCTTAAACATTTCACAGGTTCCTTCTTGATTTTCACAACGGATCCACACTCTCCCGTGTCTTTAATGGAAGAGTGTTGGTTTGATCTCAGCTCCTCACAAACAACTGCAGGCCCATTCCTTTTCCTAAAGAGAGCCCACCTGCCTCACCCCCCATGGCCCCTCTCTCTTACACCATCCCAGGGTTGAGATTCCTTCCCTGAAGGCCTCACCAGGCCCCGAGCATTCCTCAAAGAAATTAGGATATCCTGTAGTAGGAACAAATAAAAGCAGAAGCTTCCAGTTGAGGTCCAAGGGTGGGGCGAGGGCATGGTAGAAGAATATAAATGGTGGGTCCTGCAACAGGGAATAACTTTTCTTTCTATCTTTGTCTTTTAAACATTTCCCCCTTGCAGCTCATCCAGGTATTATTGGAGGACAAGGCCACGGAAAGCACAGTCAAACTCAGCCTTCCTGTGGGACAAGAAGCCCTTGTAACCTTAAAAGATGGACAAAAATTTGTAATTCACATATCAGATGTACCCCAAAGCTCTGAAAATATTTTTTTTCAGGGAAAGCAATGCAACATATAAGATTATTTATTTGAATAGGACATAAGAAAACATAGATTTTCACTCTTAAAAATATATTAAATGCTAAAGCTTTTGTATTGATAAGAAAGAAGATTTTATGTACATAATAGAGGTAGCATTGTATGTGTTATGTTTATATGTATTTCAAGGAGTTAGTTTTGATGAATCAAATAAACTGATTTGGAGAATAATTTTTGCCTCTGTTGCTTTTCTTCAGGGCTTTTCAGGTGTGTTTATTGGGAACTTAACAGAAGAGAAATTTGAGAAATCTTGTTGGGAGTAGAGAAATGGATAGATCTCTAGAGAAAGATAAAGTTTGAGGTATACAAACTGATACAAGGAGTAGAAGGCCAATGGTAACATTTTTCTTCCCCTTGGTAGTGCCTTGACTGAAATAGAATTTGCAGAAAGATCCCCTCAGGCAGTGAGGAACAGACAAAGTACAATTTGATACCGACTATTTGGCTTACACATTGGTCCATTAAGAACATTCCTAAAGTGAGGTCGAATTTTGAACCCAACAGTGTCTGCAACAAATGATGATATCCTGCTTTGAATCACTTTTTATTCCTCTCTTTGTTGCAAAATCCTAAGAAATGTTGAAACTGAGAATAGAGCCTTGTTAAACCAGATCAATTTTTATGTAACTGATTATAATATTTGAAAGGAATTTAACAATTCATGCTTAACATGATTTCTGGCATAAGTGGAGATAATAGAGAATATTTTATTGATCTCATGTTATTTAAGAAATGAATTAAATTTCCCTAAATGCTTGGAAATTTTAAAGAAACATAAGAACTCTGTCTCTAGATTCATTAAGAATTATTCATCTTTATAGTTAAAGAAGTAATCATTTTTCAAGGCCCTCTCCCCCTACACTTAATATATTATGTCATTACTGAAGCTCTCTGGGAGGAGTTGTTTGTCAAAGACTAACTCAGAGATATTCCTTTGCTCACTGTTCAGTGACCTTGCATATCCTTTGTTTGCTCGCATGTAAGTAGAGGGTTGGGAGACTGAGTCAAGGAACAAAGGTAGCACCAAGATGTATCAGTCTGGGAACAGTGAATTTTGTTTGCGTATCTGGAGGTAAACTGATAACATCCTTGAACAAGCCAACCAGGTTTATCAAAGGCAACAGTCTGAATTGTTTATCACTGGGGTTAGAAGTTAGGGTAGGGGATGAGGGTGGGTAGTAAGAAAGAGGAGCGGAAGGGGCTACTGGGACCCTCATGGTGTTTGCAGGTCTTGGCTGTCAGGGTGGCCATACAAGTGCGTTCACCTTGTGAAAATGCGTCACAAAACTTATGATTTGATTTACTTTTCTGCTTTATGTTATGTGTGAAAATGTATTTTTAAAAATAGAAGGCATTGCCCACGTAATGGGGATTGTGTTGGAGGTTCCTGGTGGGAGAATGGCTAAGAAGCACACAAGATTTCAAGAGACAGTGAGCCAGGCTAGAAAGCCTCTGAGGCCACCGAGCACCGATGTGAACATGGGACTGCCCCTGCCATGTACATCTTTGTTTTTCCCACTCAGTCCACCTCCCTGATGAGCTGAGGCAAGAGGCCGAGCAAGGAGACCAAGAATCTAACCACATCCTCCTCCCTCACCTCAGGCCTCAAGACCCAGCACAGTTCTCAGCCAGGGGAGAGAAGACGCTTTTATCCTTAATAAAGTTTGACATTTGGATTATTACACTGGATCAGACATTCTAATTACCCAACAGAGATGGTTCCTGTTTCATTCGTGGCAAATTATGCTCAGAGACAGACTGTTTTCGCCAATAATTTATTTAACGAAAGTTCACTGCGGGAATTATAATTTATAATAATGATATGTCAAAGCCAGTAGCATCCAGGATAATGTCTCTTCATGAGCCAATAAAGAAAGAACATACTCCAAACCAGTGATAGATTAATTACACTACTGTCCCAGGCAAAGGGGAGATGAAAGAAAGAAAGTCCAAATTTAATCGAGGGGTACGTTTCCACCAGTTGGTTCTCAGAAGAGTCGGCTGAGCTACCCGAGAGCGGATGTCCAGCAGCCAGCCCAGATTGAAAGCATCTTGTTGCTAGAGCACCATGCTAGCAGAGCCAAGGGGCTGGTGTTGGCAGGGAAGAGGCTCCCCGGCGATGAGTAGCCTCGCCACAGCAGGAGCTAATGTCCCAAGGTCTTCAAAGAGCTCTTTAGATCACCAAAGAGTAGCCTTGCCCAGACGGAACATTCTTGGTAAGTCTTCACAAATGTTTAGTATTAAGGGTTTCCTATCTATAAGCACTGAGCGCAGCAGCTTTGGGGACATCCTTTTGACATGGCCACCTAAATGTAAACCAAGTCACCCTTAGATCAAGACAGCTTCACTTATGCCATAAAGAAGTGGATTTGAAGTCATAACAGGTCTTATGGTCAAAAGTGACCTGGTCTATGATGTGAACATGAACATGAGCATAAATAGGAGCTCCCTCTGGCCCCTTCCCCAAACTTGGGTTTTTATCCAAGAGCTGGAAATAATTCACAGAGTGAATGGCAAAGATTGTTTTCTGCTTGCACCATCTATCACTTCACAATTTGGGCATGACAAACTAATCCTTAATGGCTTAAAACAGCCATACTATGTGTATTGTTCCTCACCGGTCCTCAGGTTGTTTGGACGGTTATGCTGATCTGGGCTGGACTTCATGAACCTCAGCTGGGCTCACTCAGCCATCTGCCACGGAGACAATAGTATTTTCTGGAACAGTCATCCGAAATAGAAATACTAATGAGACCGTGTACAAACAGAAATCTTCCCAGGGCCCATCACTAGTGTCAATATGGTGCTTGCAAAAAGAGAAGCACATCAAATAGCACATAGATCTTGGAACATAAAATTGCACCCACGATGGTGTTAAACTGGAAGCCCACTAACATTCTGGCAGCAGACAGATCTTGCAAACACAGATATTTGATCTAAAATGTATGGCGATGTGTTCCGAAATTAAATATTTGTCATGTATATTCTCTTATCAAGTACTCTAAGTATCGGGGATCATCATGGAACTAAACAGGCAAATTCCTGCTCCTCTGGAGTTTACATTCCTGGTAGAAGAATAACACCTAACTAATCAACAGAAGTCTGATATCTTAGGTAGTGATTGCTATTACTAAGTATAATACGAAAAATAACGTGCAAGAAGGGAGATAGTGATGGGGAGGCAGGTGTTACTTATAGGGTTCGCCAGCAAGGTCTCCTTCAGAAGGTGTAATTTGAAAAAGAGAGCTGAAGAAAGTAGGAAAAAAGAAATTGTGAGAATCTTCTAGAAGGGTGGGACAATGAATCAGAGTTGTTGAGTAGCACTACCAGGCAGCCCCAGCGGCTTCTTGAAGTTAATGGCCATGAATTTAAAATTATTAAGGGATTTAAAATCAATTATCGGTTTCAGAAATATAGCAAACTTGTTTATTTGAATGAATTTATCAGGTGAAAACTACCATCTGTATTGGGAAAAATAGAAAACATCTTCTTAAAAGCATCAAAAAGCTGACTAGATAGGAAGAAAAAAAAAATCTCCAGATCAAAATCTAAGAGAAAGTGGACTTTAGTGGGATAAGCTAAGCACCAAGTCTACTTTTTCCAATCTACATAACTTTGAACTTCAGGTTTGATGACCTCTTAGGGTGAAGAGAGCAGTAGCTGAATACCAGAACCCACCCAGGGTAGGGAGTCAAAGAGCAGACCTCACAAATTGGAACATCCGAAGGGTTATACACTCCAGGTAAGGGTGAGTCAGAAGTAAACGCGCCTCTGCCCTCTCCACCCCACCCCCGCTCCACATCCAGGAGGTTTCAAAGAAGGTTGCTGTGTGTATCAGGTCGGGGAGAAAGCTGTCACTCACTCTTCTCCCTTTCTCCCAGCCCCTAGCAACCACTCCTTTTATTGACAAATGGTATTCTATTGTATGGATAAACCAATTTCATTTATCCATTCATCATTTGATAGATATTTAGGTTGTTTTCCCTGAATGGAAACATAAATAATGTCATTTCCATTTGAATGAGGCCTCTACAAACATTGGTGTACAAGTTTTTGTGTGGACATACGTTTTCATTTATCTTGGGTATATACACCTACGAATGAAATTGCTGGTTCATATGCTAACTCTATGTTTAACATTTTCAAGAACAACCAAACTGTTTTCCAAAGTCACTGCACCATTTTATATTCCCATCAGGAATGGGTAATGGTTCCACATTTTCACCAATATCTATCACTTGCCTCTTTGATCATAGGCATCCAAGTGGGTGGGAGGTGGTATCTCATCGTGGTTTTGATTTGCATTTCCCTAATGACTAATGATGTTGAGCATTTTCTCATGTGCTTATGGCCATTTGCATATCTTCTTTGGAGAAATGTCTATTCAAATCTTTTGCACATTTTTTCTTATTTATTTATTTTTAAAGATTTTATGTATTTTTTTTAACATTTTATTTATTCATTTGACAGAGAGAGAGAGGGAGAGAGCACAAGCAGGGGGAGCAGCAGGTAGAGGTAGAGGGAGAGGTCTTGGGCTCAATCCCAAGACCCTGGGATCATGACCTGAGCCGAAGGCAGACGCTTAACCACCTGAGCCACCCACGCGTCCCTGTATTTATTTATTTTAGGGAGAGAGCATGTGAGCAGCAGAAGGGGCAGAGGGAGAGGGAGAGAGAGAATCTCAAGCAGACTCTGTGCAGAGTGGATCTCATCCTGAGATCATCACCTGAGCTGAAATCAAGAGTTGGACACAACACACTGAGCCTCCCAGGCACCCCATTTGCATATTTTTAGATAGGCTTATTTGTTTTCTTGTTATTGAGTTGTAGATGTTCTTTGGATATTCTGGATACAAGTCCCTTGTCAGGTACGTGATTTGCAAATATTGTAACAGTAAATACTGCAGGATGTCTCTGTAACAGAATGTTTTACCTAGCAAAAAAGTCTTTATCACATCTAATAAATATAACAACATTCTTTCATATCTTCTAATACTTAGCCCACATCCAGATTTCTCTACTTACGTCAATAATAGATTTTAGCAGTTGATCCCTACATTGTACCTCATCTTATGTCTCCTAAATCCTTTCATATCTATAATCATAATTTTTCATGCCATTTATTTGTTGAAGAAACTGGGTTATTCATACCATGGAGTGTTCCACATTC